TAAGGTTTTAATATAATTTAACCAAGTTTTACTTTTACCATTTAGACGTCTGTCTAAACTCTTAATTTTGTCCAGCATTCTTAATTATTAATTTTAAAATATTAATATATTAAATCATCTAAAATTTTATTTTCTTTCTAATGAATATTTAAATATAACAAATAAATAAAAATTAAGTAATTTTATATTTAATTATTTTATTTAATAAAATTTGGAATCACTTATGAAATTCATAATAACAAAAAATTCAGAATATAGAAATTTGTTATAATGAGATTCAACTGTAATTACTTTACTTTTTTATTATAATTGGCTAATTTAATGATCATATAAGAGATGAGATATTTAAGAATCCTTCTTCCTCTTCAATAATTACGTCATATGGGTTAGTACGAACGAAAATCATGCTGCGGGACTATATAAATCATATGATCAAAACCTGATTTTTGTACGTACTAACCCATATGTATCATTTTCCTTATGTTGTTCATAATTATAGATAACGTTATTATGGCTCTCTAAATCACAATGTCAAAGTCTTTCTTTTTTCTTTTTTTTTTGTTAGAAAAAGATAATTCTTTATGATAGGTAAACATTTTACATATATTCTTTTCTTTATAATATTAAAATAACATAAAAAATATACTTATTAATTAAGTTTTGAATTACTTTTTTGCTTACTAAATTATTTAATATTTTATAGAACAAAAGGTAAACTTTAAAAAAATTTTATTGCAACTCTTGTGAATTCATTCCTATAGTTAAAGTTAGATAACTTAGAAATTCAATTATTTTGATATCAGCAAATCAGATTTATGCTTTAATAATTATATCAATAATAAAATATTCTAATATAGAAATGCTACTTATAATAAAAAGTGGATAAAACTTTTGCTTTTAGACTTATTTATAGATAGATAATATAAATTTTATAAAAATATTATCATAACTTTATCTGAAAATTTTTTTAAATTTAAATTTTTTTTTTAATCGTAAGCTTTTTTCGTATATAAAAAAATAACGCTTTGTAGTGATTGTGTAACCATAATAACGTGTGGCGATTTACGCAGGTTGTTGACCGTTTATTCCTGAAATAAGATAAACTTGTTATTCTTATTCAGAGAATAATAATGTATAACTTCATTGAATAAAAACCAAAACCTTTTCCCTTTCTTGATAGGAGAAATTTAACTTTGCAAGTTGAATTTATCACGTAAGTAGGCCAATATGTCGTAAATTTCATAAATTTCTTTGTAAATTTAGTTGAATGATTTTTTTATATAAGTTTGAAATTTATTCTTTACTCAATTAAACTCGGGCTCTAAATGACATCTCTTTGTAAAGAGGAAATATAATTCAATAGACCATTTTGAGTATCTTTTTCCTTTTCATCAATATGTCGTTCGACAATTATTTCGCTATTTCAATGAACTTGACATTTACTTTCATTTCATCATTGTCTGTATCACGAAGATCGGCGGAATATCAAGTTTATTTCTTAAGTTTTTATTTAAAAAAATTAAATGAATAATATATATACTGTATATATAAATAAATTAATAAATGTCCTCTTGAAATCAACTAAAAAAGTTTATTTTTAATTTAATGACTATATATCATTAAGATATACTTAATTATCAATTAAATTTTACCTTCATCTATTACAATTGATCTATTTGACATCATAAAATAAGATGTCTCGAATAGACGAGATCTTATGGGTAGAAATTTCATTATAAGTATGAGGGTAGCTAATTAAAATAATATTTGACTACTAATTACAGTATATGCGCATTCATTGGAAGTTTGATCATTATCCAAAACCCGGGTACTATTCCCGCATGTGATAAAATGGCCGTTTATTTGTGCATTATCTTTGATTTATCGACGCGCCAATCTAAATATAAGAAAAATATCTATCCACATTCTGGCCGAAGAAGAACCAAAGTTTCTATCTACGAGTCATTCACATATAACCTTTTATAGTTGTTGCTAAGAATTGAGTCCTTTTTACGACATACATTATATTAAGAATCTCAAAAAATATTTACACATTACCATGGACGACATAATAAACCGACTCAAAAACAAGTGAGTCATAGTTTCTTATAAGCCATAGTTATTTAGGTGTATAGAATATTTAATTTGGTAATTAAAATTATCTTTCACGCAGAGACAAGGTTGTTCAGCAAAAGGCAGCCTTGGAACTTCGACTACTGGTAACCATATAATTAAACATCATAAATTGAGCATATGGCTTAAATATATATTATACTTACTTTTTGACTGTAGGTCGAAGGACAACCTAATTTATTAAATGAAGCTAATAAACGAATATTTGAAATGATGCAAGGAGATACACCTGACAAGATTGGTGGTATTATTGCTATTGGTAAAAATTCTTCTTATGTCTATTTTATTAAAGCTTTAATGGTGTGAATTCAGAATATTAAAAATGTAATTATTTAGATTCGTTGATTAATAATAATATTGAAACGACAACTCTTTCTCGTTTTACAAATTACTTGAAAATGGTTCTACCAAGTGGAGATCAACAAATAATGATTTTAGCATCTAAAGCACTAGGCAAGCTAGCAGCTCCCAGCGGTGCTGTAACAGCTATATTTGTGGCGAGAGAAGTAAATACAGCTTTAGAATATTTGTCGGGTAAATGATCGTAAATTTTTAATGATTCAAATGGATTGATTTTATAATATAATAACTAAAATTTTATTGAAATTTTATTTATACAAGGTGACCGACATGAATATCGTCGTTATGCTGCCGCGCTTGTATTACGAGAATTAGCGCAAAATGCACCAACTTTAATATATACTTATGTATCAGTAATTTTGGATAATATATGGGTTGGATTGCGGGACCAAAAACAAATAATTCGAGATGCTTCTGCAGAGACTTTAAGTGCATGTTTAAAAATCGTTTATGAACGTGAGAGTACAGCGAGAACTCAATGGTATACAAAAATATATGAAGAAGCATCAAAAAATTTAAAGTCTAGTAATGCCGATCAAATACACGGGGCATTGTTAGCATATCGAGAACTATTACATCATGCAAAGACGGTTGGTTTTTTTAAATTAATAATAATAATAGTAATAATAATAATAATAAGAGTATACTCTTGTGATTATCAATTAACTTTTCATTATAAATTTTTTTAATTACTAGTTTATGAGTGAAAGATATAAGATTGTATGCGAAACTGTGCTACGCTATAAAGATTATCGTGACAATCTTATTCGGAAAACTGTGATTGCTTTAATACCAGTTCTTGCAGAATTTAACAGCGAAGAATTTGTCAGTACATATGTTCATAAATGCATGTTACATTTGTTAGGACAACTCAAAAAGGATAGAGACAGATCTATATGTTTGTATTTTTTTTTCTTTTGCTTTGATCGAATATGCATATTTCTTTTGTATAAAGGATTATTATTCATTTTGACTTGTTATACAGCATTTATTGCTATAGGAAAAGTAGCTATTGCTGTAGGTAGTAACATGGGGCCTTATTTAGATTCTATATTAAGTAGTATTAAGGAAGGTCTTACACCTAAAGCACGCAGCCGTTCCGGTAATGAAGCTCCCTTGTTTCAATGTATTGGAATGTTAGCACGTGCTGTTGGTCAAGCGCTTACCAAGCATATGCATGAACTAATGGATTTGATGTTTGCATGCGGACTAAGTGAACCATTACAGCAAGCTTTAATGGACTTGGCCATATATATTCCTCCCTTATTACCGAATATACAAGGTTTTTTTTTTTTACAAAATCAAAACTTGATTATTATTCCATAATATAACTTTTTTTAAAAAAATTCTTTTTATTATTAAATTAGAACGTCTTTTGAATATGTTGTCTATGACCCTTAGCGGGCAGCCATTTCGTGCCCCGGGCTCACCTGCATCAGAGGGTCCGGACTTGAGACGTCATCTTAAGACTGATATGTCAGAAATGAAAGATGTAGAGACAGTGACATTGGCTCTTAAAACACTTGGTAGCTTCAATTTTGAAGGCCATATATTGAATGTATTTGTAAGAGATTGTGTAGTTCGATATCTTGAGCAAGATAACCCGGAAGTACGAGAAGCGGCTGCATTAACTTGCTGTCAATTATTTGCCCGAGATCCAATACTAGATCAAACTAGCAATCACGCTATCTTAGTAGTTAATGAAGTATTGGAAAAACTTCTAACAGTTGGTGTTGCGGATCCCGGTATGAAGAAACTATCATAGGACTTGGGTTTATGTTCATTAATTTTAATTATTATTAATGACCAATTTTTTCAAATTAAATTAGACCCAAATATTAGAGAAACCGTGTTGAAAAATCTTACAGAGAGATTTGATAAACACTTGGCGCAAGCTGAAAATATTCGATCATTGTTTCTTGCCTTAAATGATGAAGTCTTTACTATTCGAGAGATCACTATTACAATTATAGGCCGTCTCGCTTCTCATAATCCGGCGTATGTAATGCCATCATTACGTAAAACGCTCATCCAGCTTCTTACGGAATTGGAATATTCTAGCATGAGGTAAGAAATAAATATTATTGATGTATTCATTTTATATATTCTTAATTAGTATATACTTATTTATTTATTTATTTTAAGTCGTAATAAGGAGGAAAGTGCTCGGTTATTAAGTCTTTTAGTATCAGCTTCACAAAAGTTAATAAAACCTTATGTAGAGTCGATATTAAAAGCTCTTTTGCCAAAATCTCGTGATCCAAGCCCTGCAGTAGCATCGAGTGTATTAGCTGCACTTGGTGAATTGGCTCGTGTTGGTGGTGAAGATTTAACACCATACTTGGATAGCTTGATGCCATTGATCATTGATGCACTTCAAGACCAAAGCTCAACAGTAAAACGTGATGCTGCGCTTAAAACATTGGGACAACTTACAAGCAATACTGGTTTTGTAATTGAGCCATATCAGAAATACCCTCAATTACTTTCTATTTTGATTAATATTTTAAAGACTGAGCAGTCGACTTCTATTCGACGTGAAACGGTGAAATTAATAGGAATTCTCGGTGCATTAGATCCTTATCGTCATAAGGTAATATCTTTATATTCATTAAGTAAAACAATTTATATTTAATAAACGACTTTTTATTATTATTTAGATCACAATTGGCTCATCCGAAGATTCTTTATCGGATCCAAAAGCTACAAATACAGATGTACTTTTAATGATGGGTTTAGGACCTTCTTCAGAGGATTATTATCCAACTGTCGTTATTAATGCATTAATGAAAATTCTTCGAGATGCTTCATTGAATGCGCATCACACCGCTGTTATTGAGGCTGTCATGTATATTTTTAAGACGTTAAGCCTGAAATGCGTTCCTTTTTTACCACAGGTAAAAAATTCATATTCACAATTTCTTCATTAATGATGTCAACTTTATGGTTAAATAAATTTGCACAATTTCTTTTTGATATAGATCACACCTGCATTCTTAGGTGTAATGCGTACGTGCCCTAGTGGTATGCTCGAATTTTATTTCCAACAATTGGGTATACTAGTCTCTATTGTTAAACAACACATCAGGAATTATCTTTCTGATATTTTTACATTGGTTGAGAGTTTTTGGAATCCAAGTTCTACAATTCAAATTACAATTATTGATCTTGTTGAACAAATCGCTATATCTCTTGATGGTGAATTTAAGAATCATTTACCAGTATTATTGCCTATAATGTTACAAATATTTGATCAGGACAGGAGCGAAAAACGTAACCCAACTCTTAAAGTGCTACATGCTCTTGTAGTGTTTGGCACTAATATTGAGGAATATATGCATCTTGTTATTCCTGTGGTTGTCAAGCTTTTTGAGAAATCAGATGTACCGCTTCAACTTCGCAAATCAGCAGTTCAAACTATTGGTCAAATGTCTAAGAAGGTGAACTTTTCGGATCATGCATCCAGAATAATCCACCCATTAGCTCGTGTATTGGCAATGCCATATATGGATTTGAAGATTGCTGCCATGGACACACTTTGTGCTCTTGTCGTTCAACTTGGATCGGATTATGCTATATTCATTCCAATGATAAATAAAGTAATATCATAATTTGCTGTTTTTAATAAAAATTTTAGTCATCTAATTATTATTATTCTTCTTTCAAGGTTTTTCAAAAACAACGTATTCAGCACCCTGATTATGAGATGCTTGTTTCGAAACTCCTTAAAGGAGAACCATTACCTGTAAGCGAAGAAAGGTACATTAATTGCCCATACCAAATTTATTTAGCAATACAACACGTTTGAATGTTTATTTATATTAATTTTAACAGGTCTAATGAATCAAGAACAGAAGAAACGCCTGCCGCAGAGACAAATGCTAAAAAATTACCAGTTAACCAACAGCATTTGAAAAATGCATGGGAATGCTCTCAAAGATCTACGAAAGATGATTGGCATGAATGGATACGCAGGTTAAGTGTAGAATTGCTTAAAGAGTCCCCATCACATGCTCTTAGAGCATGTGCTAGTTTGGCCGGTGTATACCATCAGCTCGCAAGAGAATTATTTAATGCAGGATTTATATCTTGCTGGTCTGAATTATATTATCAATATAAGGTAGCTTTTAATTAATGATTAAGTCATACTTTTCTCACTGATTTTCGATTAATGATCGTCTCTTATTTCATAGGATGAATTAGTAAGTTCTTTAATGTCTGCATTGAGAGCACCAAATATTCCTGCGGAAATTGTTTCGACCATTTTAAATTTAGCTGAATTTATGGAGCATTATGATAAGCCATTACCTATTGATATAAGAACACTTGGTAATCACGCTGAAAATTGTCATGCGTATGCTAAGGCACTTCATTACAAAGAATTGGAATTCATAGGTGAAGCGTCCACAGAGACAATTGAAAAGTTGATTCAAATTAACAATCAGTTACAATTACCAGATGCCGCTATAGGTATACTTACACATGCACAACAGAATCCAAATTTGCAAGATTTACAATTAAAAGAAAATTGGTATGAAAAGCTGAATCGTTGGGAAGATGCGTTGACAGCATATGAAAAACGTCGAACAGATGATCCAAATGATAATGAAGCGACTCTCGGCGTGATGCGTTGTTTACATTCTTTGGGTGATATGGATGGGCTTTCTGAACTTGTTCAAGAAAGATGGCCTGAAGCGGAAACTGAAATGCGCAAGTCAATTGCTACCTATGCAGCTGCTGGCGCATGGTCCTTAGGCCAATGGGGTTTAATGGAGGATTACATTAAAAATATAAAATCTGATAATTATTACAGACCATTCTATCAAGCTATTATTGCTTTACATAAGAATCAATATTCCGAGGCTGTTCGTTATATCGATGAAACTCGAGATTTATTAGATACGGAATTGACAGCTCTTGTTGGCGAGAGTTATAATAGAGCTTACAAGTAAGTAGCACACCATTTCTTTCATTTTTATCATTTTGATTTTTAATTTAATGTATTTTCATTCTCTATTTAGTGTTGTTGTTCGTGTTCAAATGTTAGCCGAATTGGAAGAAATTATTACGTATAAACAATATGCCGACCAGCCTGATCGTCAAGCAACCATCCGAAAAACTTGGATGAAGAGGTATATTATATTTTTTTAGTTTTATAATTAATTACGTCTTTCGATTATTTCTTAATCGAAATTATATAGACTTAAGGGGTGCCAACGAAACGTAGATGTTTGGCAACAAATTCTCAAAGTTCGAGCGTTGGTGATTTCACCAAAAGAAAATATGGAAATGTGGATTAAATTTGCAAATTTATGTAGAAAGAGTGATCGACTTGAGTTTGCAGAAAAAACATTAAAATTACTTTTAGTTGGTGATCAAAAGTTAGAATTAATTCATCCATCGGTAAAATTAATTTATCCTAAGTAAAGCTTCCTTTTCATTGACTAATTTTTATTAATTAAATTTTGTCATAACCTTTGAAATTTAAGATTCTTGCAAGAGCCTCTCCGCAAGTTGTTTATGCACATTTGAAATGGATGTGGGCAAGTGGAGTTCGTGAAGAAGCATTAGAGTTTTTACGTGATTTCACCACAAGGATGTCAAATAATGATCGAGTTGGTAATAATGGGTTACTTGCACGCTGTTATCTCAAGAAGGGAGAGTGGCAGAAAGTTTTACAGGACGATTGGGATAGAGTACGTATACTACAACTGTGGATTTTTAATCGTTATTATACACCTAAATAACGTTAATAAATTTTATAGGAAACCATTCCCGATATTTTACAATCTTATTTGCTTGCAACGCAATATGATAAAGATTGGTATAAAGCTTGGCATGCATGGGCTCTCGCAAACTTTGAGGTTATTTCTTTTTATGAAAAATCAAAATCTGCTGAAAATAATACACCGGCCGAACAAACTATTACTACTGTTACTGAAGAAGTTAATGGAGACATTCATCAAGAAGTATTACGTTACGTAGTGCCGTCCGTTCAAGGTATTGATAATATTCAAGTAAATTTTGATTTAAAAGAAATAATTTTTTTACAAAATTTTAAATTTTAAATTTTTTTTTTGGTAGGGTTCTTTAGATCAATTTCTCTTTCAAGGGGTAATTGTCTACAAGATACTTTGAGACTTCTAACTCTCTGGTTCAAATATGGTTATCAAGAAGAAGTCTGTAGTGCTATTAAAGAAGGATTTGGTAGTGTCAATATTGATACATGGCTTGAAGTTATTCCACAGGTTTGTTGATTAATTACATATAAAGCAATAGACGATTCACTTTTGATTTTATTAATGATATTCTTATATAAACGAAACAATTTAGCTGATTGCGCGCATTCATGCTCCAAATCAAAAAGTGCGCCGCCTTATTCACGATTTATTGGCCGAGGTTGGAAAAGAGCATCCTCAAGCTTTAATTTATCCTCTTACTGTTGCATCAAAATCTCAGAGTTTTAATCGACAAACTGCTGCTTCATCTGTCATGGATAAATTACGTGCACATAGCGCTGTTCTTGTTGATCAGGTATTTGTATTATTATATTCACATGATATTAATTGCCCTTAATAATGACAATTATTGTTTGAATCCTTAGGCTTTGCTTGTCAGTCAAGAACTTATCCGTGTTGCAATATTATGGCACGAAATATGGATGGAAAATTTGGAAGAAGCCTCTCGTCTATTCTTTATTGAGCGTAATTTCGAAGCTATGTTCAATATATTGGATGAATTGCAGGAACGCCTTGATCGTGGTCCCGAGACTTTGCGCGAAGTAGCATTTGTACAAGCATATGGGAGAGAGCTTCAGGAAGCAGGTGGATGGTGTAAGAAATATAAACAAACAGGAGATATGACTTTCTTATCTCAAGCTTGGCAAATATATCACGAAGTTAATATTCACAATTTATCTTACATTGTTTTCATTGCTTTCATAAAGTTCTTTATAGAGTGTAATTACATTTATTTACATTTGTAAAAATAGATGTTTAAAAAAATAACTGCGCAAGTGGGAACCATAACAACACTTGAACTTCAATACGTTTCACCGAAATTACTTGCGGCACGAGACTTGGAATTGGCAGTTCCAGGTTAGTCTTGTATAAAAAATTTGTAAAGTTAATCTTTCTAATCAAATCTTGTATTATTTTTTAGGTACATATAAAAGTGGTGAACCTGTTACCAAAATAGCAAGTTTTATCGCTACGGTCAATATTATTTCTTCTAAACAACGCCCTAGAAAATTGAATCTTATGGGTAGTGATGGCAAGGAATATCAATTCTTACTAAAAGGTGAGACTTATTTTTAATTACATACCGTTCATAATAAATATTGATAAATTTGGCATTATTACATTTAAACAGGTCACGAAGACTTACGACAAGATGAGCGTGTAATGCAACTATTCGGCTTGGTTAATACTTTGCTCTCTATAGACTCGGAAACATTTAAAAGACATTTGCATATTCAAAGATATACCGTAACTCCTCTCACGCCGAATATCGGTCTTTTGGGATGGGTACCAAATTGCGACACCCTCCATGCTCTAATTCGTGATTATCGTGAGAGTAAAAAGATTCTCCTTAATATTGAACATCGTTTAATGTTACAGGTAGGTTAAATTAAAAATTTTTTTTATATTGTATATTTAGTATTAACAATATGAATAACAACAATAATAACATAATATATTTATAGATGGCACCTGACTATGACCAATGTACCATTATTGAGAAAGTGGAAGTATTCGAATTTGCTCTGGCTAACACGACAGGCCAGGACCTTTACAAAGTTTTATGGCTTAAGAGTAAAAACTCGGAGGCATGGTTGGAACGACGTACTAATTATACTCGGTCTTTAGCTCTAATGTCAATGGTTGGTTATATTCTTGGGTTAGGAGATAGACATCCATCAAATATCATGCTTGATCGGTACACGGGAAAGATCGTACATATTGATTTTGGTGATTGTTTTGAGGTAAAGTTTTAAATAATAAAATATTTATATAAAATGATATAAAATTTATTATGATTTCATTTGATATTAAAATTCTATATTTTTTCTCTGTCAGGTTGCAATGACTCGCGACAAATATCCAGAAAAGATTCCATTCCGTTTAACGCGTATGTTGGTCAACGCAATGGAAGTGAGCGGTATAGAAGGAAATTTCCGTACCACATGTGAGGCTGTGATGAGTGTTTTAAGAAAGAATAAGGAAAGTTTGATGGCTGTTCTTGAAGCTTTTGTACATGATCCTTTAATAAATTGGAGAATTATGGCTAATCCAAGTCCGAGACAAGGTAATTTTGTCGACCACAATGTTTCTTTTTACAGTATATTTGTGAATTATAATTTTTAAAACCATCTCGTTTTTACTAGATGGTGAGAACATACATGCGGTCGCAGGTACAAGCAATCGTCGGGCTCGCGATATTATTAATCGTATATCAAATAAGTTAACAGGTTAGTAGAATTGAAATATATTGTATAACTAGATACCATTTTTTTTTTTTTAATACTGATTAATATTTCCTTGTTTATTATTATAAATGCAGGCAAAGATTTCAAACCGAATCAAGTGTTGGATGTACCGTCACAAGTCGACAAGTTAATTCAACAAGCAATCTCAGTCGAGAATCTGTGTCAATGTTACATCGGATGGTAATATAATTTATAGTTAGTTTACTATGTGTATATTTATATTAATTTACTAATTGTTATTTTTCATTAACTTTATAGGTGCGCCTTCTGGTAGTTGGTTCATATATATTATTTAAACGTTGGATTTATATTTTAATTTATTTATATATATAGACTATATTATTTTAATAGACTTTGCACATGTATACACACGTAATATAATACAATATTTAACATAATTATTTGTCAATGACGGAAATAACTGATATTCTCATGTAAATTTTTACGCAATCTCAAATTAAAAGTCTATCTTTTTGTGACCATGTTTTTCACGTGTCACTGCATAATGTATAACGACCTCAGAAAATAACATGGACAAACATTTTCACCATAACTTCACAACGACTGCGCAAAATCACGTGAAAAGATATTCATTTTCATTCGAAAAACCAAAAAGCCAGGAGATTTTATTAAAAAAATTTGATTTCAAATATTTGAAACTATTTCAAATATCAAAAAAATTAATAAGGGTGATCCCAGAATTCCACAAATGTTGAATGGATTGAGCCTGCGCAGTCTTGTTGTTGGTCTTCTGGACTAAAAAAAAATTTTCTTTGATTAGATCATCCAGAGGTATCAAAAGTCACCGGTTAAAAATTAGAAAATCGACGGAAAAAGTTCTTTCAAATAAAACCTTTTATTTTATTAATTTAATCACTTTTGGAATAATAAGATTATGCGCCATAACGAACGAATTACATGTAATTTAAAATGTATATTATACTTTAACGTGACATTTGGGGTGAGTGCTGGGAAAATGGACCAAATTGATTTTTTTTTAAAAAAAAAAAGTTCCTTAGTAAAATAGATGGAGCACTCTTATCCTAAACCCCGGGTTTAGGATAATATCCTAGACCCCCCTTCCCTTAAATATGATTGGTTCGCATCAGCCACATTATATTTTCGTGTAACATTTATCTTGGAAAATATTTTGTCTAGAAGCTTTGGAAATGGCTTCACTATTGATTCAAATCAAATATTCAAATATCAAATCGAATTGCGGAACCCTAATTGCTAATGTAAAAACATGATATAACTCCAATTATCTCACATGAAAGCATTTAAGATTTTATTAATATTTTAATATCTATTATGATAATTGATCTCAATTCTTTAATATGATAAGATGGCAAATGATTAAAAAGTATAAATTTAACGGATGGTGAATGGTATGCAATAAATAGATTGGTTATTATTTTAGAAGATTTTGCTAAAGCAACTAAATACCTAGGCGGAAGTAATTGTACAACTATTAGCTTAATATATAATTTTTTAGAAATAATTAGTAAAAATATAGTATCTATTGATTCTAATATAAAAGTTATTTAACCAATCCAAATATCGCTTTTGATGATGATATTGGTTATAAAGATGCACTAGAGGATGAATCTATTACTCAACAATCTAAACATAAAAAAGTCAACATTAATATTTCACAAAACTGTAATGATCTTGAAAATTATGTTAAAGTAGCACTATATTAATCTATTAATCACTATTGAAAAGTTTCACAAGAGTAATGTTAACGGCTCTGTTAGATCTATGATTTAAAAGTTTAAAATTTACTTTTGAATTATTGCAAATTAATATTTATAAACAAAATATCAACTTATAAAAAATTTAACTAATGAAGATCAAGAAATTGAATCTAGACACTTGTATTGATGAAATGGCTAATAATTTGGCTTTACCTGAAATCTATCCTGATGATCATCTTTTATTATAGTGAAAATTTAATAAAATCCAATTTTTAGTATTATCAAAGTTAACAAGAAAGTACTTGATAATCCCAGCTACTTCTACTCTGAGTGAAAGGCTTTTTAGTGAAGCTGCCAATAATGTAATCATAAAAAGAACATAATTAGTTTCAATACATTAGAAAATATAGTTTTTGTAAAAAAAACTAATGCTTAGTTAGGGGTATTTTTCCATTAAGATTTGAGAAATAATTGAATATATAATAAATGTAAAGTCATAAATAAATAAAGGCATTACATTAAAGAAACAAATAATTAAAATTTGATTTTATAATTATTCATCATAGATTTATTTTATTAAGAACAGAATTATCCATTATGAATTTATCTGGATTTACTCAATTTTCATTAATAGCAATCTGTATTCGTAATGAAGCTTACAAATTATCTGTTAACAGATAAACAGATATCTAGATCAGAATACTACTGATACTTCTAATATTAAATCTTATACCATATTACTTTTAGATAAAATAGAAGGAGAAGTTCTTTTTCCTTATTATTTGTCTTACTATTGAAAAAAAATAATTAAAAAAGAAAACAAGTAAATTAAATGTAATTTCTAAATATGACAGTTGATTCTATTTTTGTTAATAACATCTTTCCTAATGATAATATATCTAATATAGGATTTGAACTTAAAAAAGTATTAATAATATCAGCAAATCTATTTAGACTTTTAAATACTAGTTATGCTACGTTTCAGCAAGTACTTTTATAGTACTTATTGTTTCACCAAGCTAGTCTTCAACCTTTGCAAAATGCTCTTCAAGCTTTATATAATTTATGTAATTTTTTTAAGTCTTCATTAGTTGGATTAGAGGAATCAGTGAATACTTAAACTGAATTATGCTTCTCTTTAGTGAATCATTTACTTCTGATATTTTGCTAAAGATTGAGATAATATATGTCTTTCCATAATCCTCTATAAAAACTGATTTTTAGTTGGATCAGAAATACCTTTGACTTTTCAAATTTCTATTATATCTAATCATAATATTGGCTTGAATACATTATTATTAACAACTGTATAATTTCTAATAATAGTAATGATTGGTTTATTTTTCTTATACTTAAAAGTAAAGCTCTAAACGATTCAGATCAATCTGAAAATTTTTTAGTTCAGTTTGGTTTTTTCAGTTCAGATTGTAAAAAAGTTAATCTAAAAATTTCAGATCAGTTCAGATTATTTTCGATTTATAATTCAATTTGAACTAAAAAAAATCTAAACTAAATGGATTCAATCTGAAAATTTTGGATTGATTTGAAGTATCAGTTAATAATAAACGCTTTTAAATTTTAGGACATTTTTTATTAAGAAAATAGCCAGTAAAGGTTGCATCTGAATTGTCAGAAGCGACTTTTAAAAATACAATAAAGTTAAACCTGAATTGTTAGAAGTGACTTTTATTAAAAAAAAATACTAAAAGTTATCTTTGACAGTTTAAATGTAATATTTATTATAAAAAATAGTCACATTAAACTGTAAGTGCTAAAGAAATTAATAATAATAGTCACATCCAAACTGTTGAAGATGACTATTATTATAAAAAATAATAAAAAAGTCGCACCTGAATCATTAAGATGACTTTATTAGAAAAATGATAATAAAGTCACTTCTGACAGTTTAGCTGCAAATTTTATTATTATTATAATATAATTAAAGTCATTTCTAATACTTCAGGTGTGACTTTTTCTAATAAAATCCATCTGAACTGTCAGAGGCAGCTTTTATTATCACATCTGATAATTCAGATGCAGCTTTTATTATTATTATTTATAACAAATGTTATTTGACAGTTCAGATGTGATTTTATTATTACATTTTATAATAAAAATCACTTCCAACAATATGGGTGTAGCTTATATTATAATAAACTAAAAAGTTAACTTATAGATCATATGATTTTTACTTTGTCACAAAATCTATCCAATCAAATAAAATTGGCAGATCCTCAAAATTCATTCAATTAGCTAAAACTAGTAGATCCTTAAAATCTGTTAGATTGACTAAATCTGTCATATATAATATATGTCAGATATATGATGAAAGACCAATTATTACATTTCTTATTTTTATTTATATTTTTATTATTTATTATTTTATTTATTTATATTATCAAGTTTTTTATAAAAAGTGTAGTTTTAAACTTATTAAAGATAGGAAAACATAATCATAACCTAGAAAATTTACTTAGTTTTATTGTTAACAAGATAATTACTAGATACACTTGTATGTTGACAAATACACTTGTAATAATTCTTTTTATTTAATAAACTTTAATTTACTCAACTCATAATTATACTTTGTCTTTGCAATACATTTGTTGATAAATTTTTAGAAGCTCTTTGTAAATCTCGTATTATAAATCTTAAAGCTAAATCCTTTGTTAATCTTATGTTAATACTAATTTTTAGTTGTTAGTATTGTAAAATAATAATATTATTATTTTTATAATAAAAGTCATCTATGAAAGTTTGGATGTGACTCTATTATCATATTTTATAATAAAAGTCACCTCTGACAGTTTAGATGTAACCTTTATTATTATTTTTTATTATAAAAGTCACATTTAATAGTTCTGATTCAGCTTTTGTTATTATTTTTTATAATAAAAGTTACCTGATAGTTCAGATACGAATTTATGATCATTTTTTTACAAATGTCAGAAGTAGCTTTTATTATCGCATCTGAACTTTCAGAGGTAATTTACATTAGTATTTCCTAATTAAAGTCACATTTAACTCAGATGCGATCTTTATTATTATTATTTATAATAAAAGTTATTACTAGTAGTTCAGATGTGGCTTTTATTATTATCATTATAATAAAAGTCACCTCTGAAAGTTCAGATATAACTTTATAACTTTTATTATTATCATTTATAATAAAAGTCACTTCTGACAGTTTGGATGCAGCTTTTATGATTATTATTTATAATAAAAGTCATTGATACTTCAGTTTAACTTTTCTAATAAAGCCGCACCTGAACTGTCGAAGGCAGCTTTTTTTTATATCATTAGAACTTTCGGAGGCGAATTTATTAACATTTTTTTATTTAAGTCACTTTTGTCAGTTCAGATACAACATTTTCTAATTAAGCTGCACCTGAACCATTAGAAGCGACTTTTATTATCACATCTGAACTTTCAGAGTAACTTTTTATTAATATTTTTTATAATAAAAATCGCTTGACAGTTTGGATCT